CAAGGTCTTGATAGAAAAAATCTACTGTCAACTGATATGGAATGAGACGATCTCAAATCTTCTTTACAATATTGCAATCTCTCAATGCATGCAGGAAACTCATTTTATTTTGCTGTAACATGACAATCGAATTACCCTTTTTTTTCGGTTAACTTCTTCTACCATATTTTTATTGCTTATGCAATCTCAACCAATTTCTATATCTTTTTTCAATTTTATTATGATGCTGAGCTCAAATTCAAATCTCAACTACTGCAAGAATTTGCTAAAAGGATGAATAAATACAACGAACTAGAGTAATTATTTGAGATAATAGATATGTAATAGGGTTTGATGTTTTTATTTTTATATGATATAAAGTTGTGTTATTTTAAGTGGGAGAAATACACAAGTAATGGAAATCATGAGGGGGAGAAAGTAGGTATTTTTTAATTTAAATTTTAAATAAAAAATTATTAGTTTGTATCTTTCTCTCACTTAAAATGACACAATTCTATATCTTTTAAAATGATAAATATTTTTCCCTATGTAATAATCCCAAAATTGGTATGTCAATTGCATAAATGGATTGGATTATCTCATGTTAGTTTTTCATATGATTTTGGCATTGGAAATAGTAGTCTCATATTGTAGGAGACTACTATCTTATGTCATAGATATTTTGATAATTATGTTGCCATTTTTTTAGTGGTGGACCCATTACTTTATATCTTAACATAAGATATACTCTCTCCTAGAACATGAGAGTAGACAAATCTTTTGACATATCAACTTTATTAAATTTGTTAAATTAAATAGGTGAGATCCTTTTAAAAAGTTGTCTCAACAACTCAATGCATGTACGTAAACAAAAGATATGAACAATATGAAAGAACTTTATATTAGAAGAAATGAAGAATTCAATAAGTTGAATGCCCAAATTAAAAACTTAATAAGAAAATGTGTTACATATGTATACATGTAATCCCGTAAAATATTATGTAAAACAAATAACTAAGTCCCCAATAATATAGGACTAATAAAGCTTCACATTAGTCAATAACTAAACGATAAAGACTAGCTTTTACTTAAGCCTCAATAGCATAGTCCATCAAGAGGCATCTCGTGTGGAATGCAGGCTAGAAAAACCATTATATCAACCAATCAGGAAACACATCAATCTTTCTGCCTTATTAAGGTGGCATAGTGAACTAACAAGGAGCTCATGTCGCATGCTATAAAAGGAGAGGCCTAGCCTATGTATGTTTTTGTTCAATATACTAAAGCTAATTAATCAAACATTGACTTGAGAATAAGGATACCTTACAAGTACCCATCCCTTCTTGATTGAGCCAATACATATAGTCAAGGCATTGAAGATCACATTTCATAATTATCATCCCACACAACACAACAGAGATCTTGTTACCTCCATTTATCTTGTCATAACACTTATATGCACCAAACTCAATCATGTGTGGTTAAACTCAACATAAGTGGGAGTGAGAGCATATGTTCGATCCTTCCTATTACCATCTATGAGAGAGATTTAAAACCTTAATCTCGAGACCTGCCCTGAATCAGACTAATCGCAAAATGATAAACCGATTTGATTATTTAAAAAAAAAAACTCAACTCTGTGATCTGATCACTAAAGTAATCTCAACTACTTTTAGGGCATGTTTGGAGCACCTGATAAAGAAGATAGGATAGGATAACTTATCATATTCTACTTTTATCTCTTGTTTGGTGGGTCAATAGGATATGATTAGCTTATCCTATTATCTCATTTTATCCTATCCAATACATGATTACTTATCCTATGGGGGAAGCTGGGTTAGGATCCAACAGGATAGGATACCAATATTGGATACCCAATATAGCCCCACGCTACCCAATATATTTGTATTTATTGCATTATATTTTGTTTTTTCTTTCTTCTTTCTCCTTCTACATAATCTTATCAGATTGTTAATCAGGTGTTCATCAAACACAGGACATAATAAAGGTTTATCAGCCCCATATCATATCCTATCTTTATCAGCTCTATATCATATCCTACTCTTATCTGTCCACCAAACGAGCCCTTAGGGACTACATTAAATAGAAATTTCTTAAAGAAAAAAAAAACTATAATCTGAATCCAAGAAGTGAACGAGCTTACTTATAAGCTCTCATTCTCCTCTTCGTTTGTCCAACCTCAGACTTTTCTAAGTGGCGTAGCCACATTGTAACATGGTAGTGCCTTAGCACTACCTTTGTTTCAAAAAAATTTACTTATTACATATAATTATATAGTTAAATATAATTTGATCATGATTAAAATTATAATTTGGCACTACCTAAATAAATATAGCAAAATTATAATATTTTTATCATTTTCCTCATTTTTTTAACCACTCATTTGTCATTTTATATATATATATATATATATATATATATATATATATATATATATATATCCACATCTTCTTAGGATAATGTTTAGTTCATTATTTATTATGCTGTTGGAGGAAAGTGAAATTCTTCTATTTGGAATGCTTACAGAAAAGATTAATGTCTTTTTATATGTTTATTTTTATATATAATCATTAACAATTGTTAATTTGATTTTTCAATGTCATGTGATATTATTTAGCAAATAATTTAAATAAATATGCTAGAATTTATAGTAAACTTTTTTCCTAATAAATTTGTGTAATTAAGATAAAAAAAATTTATAATTTGATATGTTAAATTTTTTTACACTACCTAAATTTTTTTCCTTGTGCCACTCCTTTTCTTTCTTCCGAAAATCAACATCCTTATTCCATTTTCTTTTTCCTTCTTGAACTTCTTAATAATAACTATAATTAATTCATAATTAATTCTAACAAATATATATCAAGAGATACATACAAAATTTTCACATCAACATGACAAGTTGATGTGAAAATTTAACATAATACGGAAATCAGTTTATTGTAAATCAGCAATCTGCTTTTGAGAACTGAGAAGTCAGAACCCGGTTTCAGTGGCTGCGAGCCTTTTCAACTTAAAGGTGATAACAAACCTAACTAGCAAGTATTTTTCTAAGACTAGTGGAGTTGCTGAAACTCAACCTTTGGAAAAATAGCAAAGACTAAAGCAATGCGCACGATTCACTTTACCTATTCAAAGAAAATGATGAATCCACACTTAATTAGGATACAGTCTTCCTACAGAGCATTTAAGAGTTTAACAACTTAACGAAAATAACATCCACCAAACAAAACCTAACATGCAAAATCAGTAAAAAAAAACTGTACTAGGATGCTAGACCTCTTGCCATCATACTAACATGTAAAGAATAATAGAACCGTACTCTTTGGTAAGAAATAATTATATACTCAGTCAAAAAGAAAAAGGAAATAAAATTGAAAGAAGACACTGTTGGTAGATACTCAACACATCTTTGCACTTTTATTTTGAACAAAGGGGAAAGGAAAAGGCATAATAATAATTAAAAAAAAAAAAAAACCATTCCCAGTTGATTCCTTAATATCGAGAATAGGAATGAGAATAATCTTTATAAATAACTTTATTTTTATATATTTGTAAAGAAACTAATTTCCAAATTCAAATCTTAAAACTTTTCATTTAAGCTACAAAGAAACATTCAAAGGCATAATAATAAAAAGAACATAAAGAAAGAAATAAATCATCTTATTAGGCTATTATATTTCATAAGAGAAGCCCATATGGGTTAAATAAGAATAAATCTTTGGTGCTACTGTTGCACTAAGATTCAGTACATTTTATTAATAAGAGCATTACACATCATAGGAGAGAGATAAAATTTGGCAGAAAAAAAAAACTTTATCTGACATGTAATACTTTTATTGGTGGGATGTACTGAATCTTTGGTGAAAGAGTAGCACCAAAAATTTATTCTTTAAATAGAAGTGTAGATTATGTCCAAAGTAGAAATGCCTCAATTTTGCTCAGAACAATCACTGTTCTTGCCAATGCCATTTCTTTTACCATGCAAGCTCACAAAAAGTAGCAAGTAATGAATTGTTTCTGCCAGTGAACTTGAGAATTGGAGGGACCAGAGAGTCATAAACACATGTCAAGGCATCTCAGGACAGAGGAATAGACCATCATAGATAATCAAAGGTTCCACCACGCCAGTAAAGACAAGACGATTATTTAAAATGTTGTAGGCTTGGTTTGAATGATTTTGATATGAAAGTGACCCAACCCAACCAAAGCTTATATTCTTCCTAAAGTTATTCATGCTTAAATGCTATGTAAATTGCTTAAATGCTATGTAAATTGCTATAGGCTTGATTATATTTTAAGTTTTAAACTGTTGCAAGAAGCAAATGGTAACACACACACATCATACCTTGTCGTACACTTGCCTTCATTAGTGGACGGTTAACATCCAAAAAACGTTTTTCAATTTTAAAAGAAAAATTGCAGTTAGAAACAAAATTGTAAAGAGTAAATGAGAATCCGTGGTTAAGATATTGTTCATTAATAATATTCTTAACTTTATTTCCCAATAAAGGCTTGGCAATTCAACCATATGCCAAACAAAATCTTCAATTTCCCTTTTAGCAAATTTTCTTTGATGTCCATGTATAATCCCAAAAAGCTTGTTTGGACACAATCTTTTTCTTTAAATAAAATAAAATAAAAGTTCAAAACAATTTGGATATTTTTCCTATGACAACATGCTCATGTTTTGCAGAAATCCAATATTGCACACTCTCCTCCTAACATTCAAAACAATCAATTCCACACTGATCCCAATGAAAAACACAGGGAAACAGAAAGACTTAAAACAGCTGATTTTTCTGCTATAACTTAAATTTCGGAAACTCTTTTAAGTTATTGTCTTTTTCTTTCCTATGACAAAAAAAAAAAAAATGAGTATGTATCCTTTCAATATGAAAGTAGAGTTAAAGCAAAGGAAAAGGAAAAAAAGAAAAGAAAAGAAAGAAAGAATAAGAAAAAAGAAAAATAAAATAAAAAACTAGGATGAATAAGTTCCCTTATGAGCTCTTACAGGCATAGATCAACAAGGAGAATTGAACTTTGTCTTTATCTTTCTGTGCAGCTTTCTCCTCTAACCATAACCTGCTATCCAAGCCACTCCTTGTCCTGAACATGAACACTGCATTCCCAGAAGCAGGATTGAAGAACCAATCATGAACATCCCACAACAAATCAACCACCAACCCATCAACAAAAATTGTTTGGTTTCCCCTGAAATTCCATTGCAGCCTCTTCACACGAATCACGGTCTTCTTATCAATGCACACCGATAGAACTGGAACTTTGAATCCTTCATTTTCTACACTGCATCTGATCAAAACATCATGCCATGTGCCAGTGTCACAGAATTGAGCCTTGGTTGTGTAAAGGGTGTTGCCTGAACAATGCTCTCGTCGTGATAATAGTGAAACCTTAGCCATAGGGGTGCTAGTTTTGAACCTCTTGGACACTGCTTCTTCAGCCATATCACCAAGAATCAAACCTATTTCTGAATCAACAAGAATCACAACATAAAACCCATTAACAGGTTCAGGTCCAGAATCATACTTGGCATTGGAAAGATCCCATAAAACTTCGATCTTTGACTCATCAGAATCCAGCAATTTGCTACCTTTCTTCTTCGAATTCCTGAAAAACCGTGAATTTGTGTTGAGTCTGAAAGGTGCAGCTGCTGAAGGGTCATCATCACCAAATCTTATGCTGAGTCCCTGGTTTGAATTGCTCTTGTTATTACACCAAGTGACAGTTATCAAAAACTGCTTTAGAGTGGAGAGGACTAGTTTATAGACACATGAAATTGAATTTTGGATTGAAGGTGAAAGGCTTGGAGAGATGCAAGCGTTCTTTGAATAGCTAGAACATGAGGAATGAGACACATTTACTGCGTTTTCGCTAAGACAAGAAACTAAGTCTCTCATTTTTCGTTTATGCATACAAAGATCTGAACTTTTTGGAGAAACGGGTTAAGGGTCCTTTTTGTTTTCTGGTTTCTATGAAGAAATGATTAGCACTAAGAACAATGGAGATTATGTATGCGTTTTCAAGTGTCTTGGTTTTCTGAAGGGGGAAACTCAGATAAATGAGAGGAGACAGGCTAGGAAAACCGGTTTCCAAACAAGTCATTTGTCATTTAACATACATTAACACACACACACACTCTCTCTCTCCTATCTCTTTTTCTCTCTCTTAGGAAAACATGCATATTGTGAGAAGGAAAAGATAAGAGAATTGAGGCAGAAACCTTGGTGGTGTGCTTTTTTAATCTGATTTGCCAGTTAATACCAACATTAAAAAAATGAAAAGAAAAGAAGAAAGAAAAGGGGCGTTACCAAAAAAAGTTGATCCTGTATCTCAACACTACTTGTGACACGATGATGTTTTTCCTTTAATACGTGTACCTCGGGTTTGGTGATTATTAAGAACCGCAATTAAGGAAAAAATGTTATGACTAATTTATTAGGTTCGTGCGTTAATGGTCAAGGTTGGAAAATGAACAAACGGACATAAATGAAATAGGAGGAGAAACAAAATAAAAAAAATGAAATCACCTTTATTTCTTACCCTTTTTTCTTTGTCTTCTTTCCTTTCTTATTTTTAAAATTATTCGAAAAGTTTTCTTTGCCAATTATTATGAGTAATTTTAGCTTCAACGCTTTGTTAATTCCATTTATTAAGTATCTTCTTAATACAAGAAACTTTGAGTTCTGTCGGAATCCTCTACTAGTTATCTCACTGTGGTTCAAATTCAAATCATTCATCCTTGGCAAAAATGGTATAGATTTGGCTCTCTCTTTTAGTATGCCTTGTTAAATAGGGTGTTTCCTTTGGGGACCATTGAAGCAAAAATATGATGGGATATATATGATTTTTCTTTTTTCTTTCTTTCTGGTGCCAAAAAAACTTTACCTTTTTCTTGCAATAACCAACAAAATGAATAGTGCAGTGGGGAAGCCATGAATATGTGACAATGAATGTTGGGCCCACAAAATAAATTTGGCCTTTAGACCCACTAACTCCTACTCCCAATGCAAACTCATTTATGAGTAATTTGTATTTGGCACTCAATATAAACATCTCTCCTAAGTTCACTAATTATGTTCTTTGTTGGCGGGTCATGATCCCATTTTTTTCATCGGGTCGGGGTAAAAGACCAAAGGTTTTGAGCGATTGATCCGGCAGAACAACTCAGTCATGGTAAAATCTTGGTTTATTTAATCATCAGGGACTCCTAAGCACAAGTTCTCTATAATTAGACATGGAAGGGAACAGTGACTATTGTGCCACTGTTCCAAGACAAATTTATCTAAATATCACGTCAAAAAACAATTTTATCAAACTGTCACGAGAGCAAGTTTGTCCAAAGCAGTAGCGAACTTAGTATGCTGATGTGTCAGCTTCCTAGTGGTGTCAGAGTTCGCTTCTGACACAGGCGATCTCTACTGCATGCAAGCCACGTGGCCTGACAGGTGAGACATTAATTTCAACCGAGGTCGCCTGTGTCAGAAGCGAACTCTGACACCACCAGGAAGCTGACACATCAGCATACCAAGTTCGCTACTGCTCTGGGCGAACTTGCCCTCGTGGCAGTTTGGTAAAATTGTTTTTTGGCGTAGTATTTAGGTAAAATTGTCTTCTAACAGTGGCGCAAAGGTCACTGTTCCGCAAAACAGGGCAATTTCACCCAAAAAAAAAAAATGGGGCATAACATAATACTAGCAAGAGAATCTAATGACTTTCTCTAATTTCCCCATCTATTGACTTTCAAAAATAATAAAATTCAGAATAAATCATTTAATGTCATTTTAAAGGAGTGTGACTATTTTAATTAGTTATGGTCTACTTGTTATATCCTTCAATACAAAAATATCATGTGGTTGCAGTTGGGAAAGAACAGCATTTGAATCATTACACACCCATGAATTATTAAAGGATTGGTCCTCAACAGATCCAATTTCTATCCTCCCCCCCTCTCAATCTCCTATTTTATTTTTATTTTGGTAGTTTCTCAAACCAAACTAGAACATTGAATTTATAAAGTTTTTAGTGACATAAATTAAAGTTGCATTAAAGTTTGAAAGAGAGAAAAAATAAGTGGGGGGGCAGTTAGAACAACTTTGCACAAAGTTTTGATAGCTATCTCAAATTAAGTACAAACTGAAAAGGCTTGTTGTGAAAAAACATCTAGGTCTTATATTCTGATTAAATTATGTAATGAGGTAAAGGATGAATTAAATGAGAAAGAATGGATTGGGAATGGGGGGAATCTGTCACACACAACATGAAACAGCGCATAAGGGAGGGCATCATTACTTTCTCTCGTTGACGTTTAAGGCATATTTTTTGGGCCATGGACCCCAGAAGGCTTGGTCCTGGGGCATGTTCTACCTTCCTCATTATGAATTAACATTCAAGCTTGCTTATGGTAAACGTAAGCATTTTTTTTACATAATTGCATCTACCAATCAAACTGTAAAGTGTAATAACAAAATTAGAGAGGGTGAAGGAAAAAAAGAAAAAGAAAAAAGAGAGAACTAAACTGAAGCTATGTTGTGCAGTATTTAAAACCAACTTGGAACTTAAATTTGTGCGTTAGAAATTTATGGGGGAGAAAGGAGAAAGAAAAAAAAAACTATAAAAAGGTGAATGGGAATGCATGCTTCTTGTGAATTTCCTGGGATATAAAGAAGGCATGCTAACTTTTCTTTTCTTTTTATCTACAGTTTTAACTTTCTTCTAACAAAGCTTAATAAGCAGATTCCTTTCAGATAATATGTTTCTCTCAACAAATTCCTAGATAGTTACAAACTGCAATGCAAATGCAAATCCATAAATAAAGGAAGCATTTTCAGCTTGCCCACCAAGCTATTGGAGCTGAAAAAGGCATGCATTCACTTCAGTAACCCCTGAAATTCCTTCAGCCTTTGGTTTAGTTAGCTAGTTGGTAAATGTAGCTGGCTTATCCTATATTTTAGGCCTCTACTTTTGGAAAGTTCTTGGTGTAGCTGGTAATAGTATAGAGACTAGAGATTCATGGTAGGGACTGAAAAATCAAATCCATATGTCATGATTAACCAATAATAATCCATGTCACAAACTTTACACCATTGCAAAACTATAATATTAGTATGTGACCCGATTCACTTTTTTTGGTTCTTGTTTTAGAGAATTTGATTATATAGTGGGTTAGAAGGCGAGTTGGATCCCATTGTTCTCTTCTTTCTCTTTTGAAGCTAAACATTAGTTACACTAAGATTCCAAAGGATGATATATATAACTAAACCCAACGTGAGGATGACAATTCAAAAGGGCAGAATGGAATCCAACTGAAGAGGAAATTATTCTGTCGTGTCCCTTATGTAATACCGAGAAATTCTCTCCAACCACATGCCCATGGGGGGGCATCTTATACTGACAAAGTTGAATTTGCACTTTCTTTTGACACACAATACAACCAGTAGTAATTAGTGCTTAGACTAGGGAAAAAAAGTGTTCTATTGAAAGAAAAAAATCTTACGACAATTGTTGAGATATATAGTCTCACATTGGTTGTATGTGCAACTAATGTGTAGTTTATAAGACTTTGGGCACTATATAGTCCCACATTGGTTGTATGTGCGACTAATGTGGAGTTTATAAGACCTTGGGCACTCCTACCCTTTGAGCTAGCTTTTGAGGTGGTGTATCCTAAAGTTATTTACAACAATGTTTTATCGCAGTTGTGATAAAAAAAAAAAATGCATAATTATAATAGACTTGAAAGAAAAAATCTTATGACAATGTTTTATCACACAAAAATAGCTTCTAAAGTTAAATTTGTCCGAATATCTAGAACTGTGTTACAAAAATCATGGGAGGAAAAAGCAATTTCATGGATTGTACAATAAAACATTGGAATTGGATAAATGCAAGTTTCGGTTTGATTTAACGTTTATGGTTATTGAAGTTCTGAATAGTCCTAGATTATTAATGTTTTAGGTCACATGGACTTCACGGAGCACAATTTTATCCAAATGAACTTCGTCTTTAAATATAGCCTTCAATGACATGACTATGCTTAACTGCAACTAAGGGCCACATTCTTTTATAGGGGAGGATTGCAGTTAGCAACCATAAATGAATATATATATATATATATATATATATATATATATATATATATATATATATTATATAATATTTTTATTAAATATTGTAAGAATTATTAAGACGATATAACAACACTACAAAAAAAACTGGTATTTGAAGGCTGTTTATTGAAGGCGGTTTCACTTAAACAGCCTCCAATTGGTACATAGAGACAGTGCTTCCGGCGGTTTAATTGATTTGAGACGATTGACGTGAAACCGTTTCTAAATGTATATTAGAGGCAGTTAAAATAACCGCCTCCATTTACCATTCAGAGGTGGTTACATTGAAACCGCCTCTAATTGTTTCCTTTAAAAGCGGTTAAATCATAACTACCTCTAAATATATATTGGACGCTGTTAAATATATGTCTATATAATAGATAAAAGTAAGAGTTTATTGTGTCCCAAAAGAAAAGAAAAAAAGTAAGAGTTTACATCAGAAAGAAGTTAATTTTTTTTTGCTTTTAGTAGTAATGCTAACTGTCAAGCACTTTCTTCAGTTATACGTTTGTCAGAAGGATATTACCAACATGATTTGGGTACTAAACTAATGGTTATGAAAGAGGAACATGGAGGGAAAAAAAAACAATTAAACGGAAATCAAATCAATACAATCAACTGGCTGTAAACTAATACATTAAAGGGCCTCAGAACGATTATTTTTCTTTTTAAGTTAAATTTCATGCATGTTTGTTTGCATATGCAAATCATTTGTGTAGAACAGAGAATGAACTTTATTCTTAAGCTACTAGCAATCGATGATCATGACACAAGAAATTAAGCTGAATTAAGTAAGGGAAATCATTTTCTTATGTAATAGGAGATAGTTTTCTCATGTTGTGAGACATCGAAATTCGTGCTATCTTTTTAGTTTTTTCTTCTTTTTTAATAAGTGGTGGGCCCCACCACTTATTGTGTCTATGACA